TGAGCAATAGAGCTGATGAAGGTACATGTATGGGTGAATATAAGAACAATGTCTTACATCAGCTTTTCGTTACCGTCAGTCCAAAACTCTGTTATGCCATCAAACAGCATGTGTCTCGGCTGAAAAGGTGAGTTTCAGTAATGTAATGTGATGTGTTACTAAAATATCTTTTTGTTTTGTTTTCTGCTATCAATCTTAATATCATATTATTGTTTCAGTGTTCTATATTCTTTTTTTACTTGATATGACTTCTCAGTTGAATATTGATCTTAAATTTTGGCAAGAAATAATATTGTAATGGCTGTTTTCAACAGATACTATGAATAGTAATATAGCTCCTTTTTGTTGTATATTAAAATCAAGTCAAAGTCAACAACTAATTTAACCACAACTTTTCAAGACTTTTATCAAAATTTACTAAAAATCTGATTTTGATCTACACCAAAAAGGGGGCGTAAGATGTTGGTGACCTATTTCTCCAAATTATGTTGAAGTTGGGGTCAGTGAACTTGATCTTATTTAAGCCCCTCATATTATCAAACTGGTTGAAAATAATGAGTTGACTTGCATATTTCATCAAACAGGATACTCTAGTGGGTGCACATGTGGAGCATTTTGCTTTTGCTCATTGACTGCAAGTGTAAACACTTTTCTGCACATAAAATTAATTTATTCTTCGGCCTCGGTACGAAATATTTTCGCTCTACAGTTTTCCACTCTGGTAAACCAACTGCCTTGGGTGTTCAGATTCATGGTAAGACCCTTTAGAGTGATAGGAAACATTGTGACTTTGACCATGGTTCTCAAAGAGTTGAAAAAACACAAATTGATCTTTGGCATATTGTTTGCCTTGAGTGTTCTGATTCATGGTAAGACCCTTTAGATTGATAGGAAACATTGTGACTCAGACCATGGTTCTCTAAGAGTTGAAAAAACACAAATTGATCTTTGGCATATTGTGAAACCAGTGGCTGTCATTGTAAGATAATATAATAAGCTCACGATCCTTGTCAAGGTAAGAAATAAATTAGAAAGGACTTTTGAATTTTATTATTGGTGCTAGTAACTCCTTTCATTTCATGTAAGATTTAGAATGACTTGGAAGATAAATACATCACACTAGTAATATTTTGATGATGATTTGACCTTGGTAAAATAGTCTCAGCTCATGTATTCAGCTTATGATCAATATTATTTATTGGTACCTTGATTTCAGTTTAGTTTCAAATAACTTGAAAGTTGATACGTTTCCTTCTATTTCTCCACTCATAGTGAATTGCTCTTCTTCAATTAAGGAAGATTTATATATCTGGCACTAACATTTTTATAGATGTTTTTGAAAAATCTAATACTTGATTTTATTATACTCAACATCGTTCTTTCTGACATTTCTAATATTC